GTTGGGGGAAGTTCGCTTCCGGGAAGAAATTGGAGTGTACACATGGTTTATGCGCTGGATGGGGAGGACTTTCATTAGGAGGGAAAACAGAGTTCTCCCCAGCCAGAAGTATTCCCAGCCCTATTATTTCCATTTGTTTATTCCCCAAAGCATCCTTAAATCATTTCCAAATTAGGCCATTGAGAATGTCCTCAGATTTCAGCTTTGAAGCTGTTTCGCATTCACATGGTTTACAACAATCCTCTTTGATGTTGGCAAACTCCACAAACTGCCGGCAAAGCCTTTCCCTCCATGGCTGCGTGGACCCCTCCAGGGCTGGACCAGCTCCCCGGGTGTGACTGTCAGAAATGCTCTTTCTGGGCAGGGCTGGGGGCCACTTTCTCAGTGGTAACACTGGGAGGTGCACGTGTGTGTCTGACTCAGGGCCTTGCTCACTCATCCCCTGACAGAGGCGTCTGTGTGGTCAGAGCCCAGCCCTCCCCGGCCAAGAGAAACACCTGTTTTCAGGGACTCAAGAAACCAAACCATCTGGGTGCTTAGTTAGAAAAGCAAATGGGTTGGGGCGCCTGGGTGGCTCAGTCGTTAAGCGTCTGCCTTCGGCTCAGGTCATGATCCCAGGGTCCTGGGATCGAGTCCCGCATCGGGTTCCCTGCTCCGCGGGAAGCCTGCTTCTCCCTCTCCCACTCCCCCTGCTTGTGTTCCCTCTCTCACTGTCAATCTCTCTGTCAAATAAATAAATAAAACCTTTAAAAAAAAAAAAAGAAAAGAGAAGCAAATGGGTTCTTTCGATGCATCAGTCCCAGCTACCCGCGTGGCCCCGTGAAAGCAGGATGGAGGGCCCGCTTGGGGGGAGGAGAGCCAGCCATGCCCCCGCCTCTTGGGCACTATAGGACCTTCAGGAACTCTGCTAAAAATATGAATCAGCTCACAGGACATGACATCCTGCTCTGGCTTCCTGATTCCCTTCTCCCCACCCAAACTGGCAAGGCCTTGCCCCTGTGTCTCCGGCCAGTACCCATGACCTCACCTCCTCCCACTGGCCCCCCGGCTCCCTCAGCTTCAGCCAAGGCTTCTTTCTGACCCAGCAGCTTTGACACCCCTCGCACGTGCTGTCCCCTCCACTGGCACGTTTATGACCCAGTTCGGCACAGAGGGTCCTTCTTTTCAGTAAGGTCCTGCTTTTAAGGTCACCTTCTCCGAGAAGCCTTGCCAGATCTCTCTCAAGGTAAACATGATCCTGTCCGGGTTTCTTCTAGGGTCTTTCTAAAAGTATCATGTTCTTTATTTGCCCTGTCCCTGTGAGAATACAAGCTCCGTGGTGGCATGTCCCCTTGCTAGGTCTCTGATGCCCGGCCAGGAGCAGGCATGTCATAGGTATGCTTTGTGTGCAGTAAGGGATCGTATAGATCCCTCCCCACTGAGTACCCAGCCCGTGAGGACCACACTTCTCTCAGGAAGGCCAGGGCCTGTGGTTCGGCTGTGTGTCTTGTAGGGAGAAGGGGGATTCAGCAAACAGCTAGCCGCCCCATCCCAGGCTCCAATGAAGGACAAGTGTACACAAAGCCCAGGAGAACCTTCTGCAGGGGAGGCCTGCAGCTTCTCCCCCAGCCCCATGGAATGCTCACCCCCGACTGAGGAAGGCTAGAGATGGGAATGCAAGATTCATTCGAGGAGGTAAGGCATAGAGCTTCAAAGAGGACCATGTAGGGTCTGCTGAACTCTTGGTGCGGATCCACAAATCAGTAAATTAAGGCAAACGGGGCATGATACTATTGATCCGTTCCTCTGGGTTTGCCGAGGGGTCACCCGGAGATGCCATGGATTACTTGGGAGGCTGACAGGCTGGGTTCTTAGCGTCCCTCCGAGCAGAAGGAGGTTTCTTCTATTTTAAAAGCAAGGGCAGTTGCCACTGCAAACTGTTTGCGGCAAGCTTGAGCTTTCTCCCTGCTGTTATTGGAGGCACTGGAGGAGAACGGCTAGTCGTAAATACTGCCCCAGCTTTCAGCACCTAAACGCCCCTTCTCCAGCACCGATGGTATCATCCCCTTCCACACTGAAGTCCAGCAGGCTCCTTGCCACTTTGACCAGCTCCCGGACAAAGCCGGCACCCCGGGCCCTTGCTCCAGAGCGACCCCGCACTGCCCTACGTGAAAGCGTAATCCACACAGCACAAACACTTAGTACTATTTAATTACTGACAAAATTAGGCTTACACATTGATTTAGGGCCCTGCAGATGAAACACATATTCTTGCAGGAAAGCAGATTTCTTACAATTAATTTGAGAGAAACAAGGCAGGTGCTTCAGATGGGATGTCGTCCCAGAGGCACGGGGTGCAGCTGGGGACCTGGCAGGCTTGGAACGCTTCTCCGGGGCTTCGAAGGCTCGGCTCCCCCCACAATTAGTTGTGCTAATTACCCAAAGAAGATTAGATGTATTAGCTGGAAGAGCGCCCTGGAGAAGCCATTCTTGCATCTTATTTTAGCCACTGATCATGTTTCTGGAGCTGTAGCTTCCCCAAAAGCTTCCACACCAAAGAGCAGAAAAAACTTTGCTTAGCCAACTATGCATAAAGGGAAATAGTTGCACATCCTGGGCAGGAGCTAGAAGCTGTCAGCCAACTTTCATCCTAAGGACACAGAGAAATCTTTTGCCATGACAGCCCTCCTCCAGCCCCTCCCCAAAAAGGGGCATCTGATGATTGCAATTCTAGGGGAAAAAAATCTTGATTTGATTTGGGAATATAAAGTGATTGTTTTCAATAAAGAACAGAGACCATGAATTCTAGTCTATAAATTTGAGAAATGCTAAAAAAAATTTTCACATTAAGACTGTGGCAACCTGGAGTTGGCGTTTAGTACAGACTTCCCCACTTTGGAGGTGAAGGGCATAATGAACTAGGCCAGGGGTCCCAGGACAAGCCGCATCAGCTTCACCAGGAGCCTGTTAATGCAGAGTCTTAAGGACCATCCAGACCTGCCTAATCAGAGGCTTTGGGGGTGGGCTCTGTGCTCGGCAGGCGGGGGTTTTTTAACAAAGCTTCCTGAGTGATGTTAATATTTTCTCAAGTTTCAGAAGTGCTAAAATACATAATCTCTTATGCTCTTTGCTGCATTAACTCTCTGTAATTTTACAGGAGACCCAAAGAGAAGAGGCCGAAGTTTAAGAAGTAAACAAAAGGAAAACAGAAAGATGGACATACATTGGGAAGAGTAAATGCAGAATAAAGGAGAATTGCACATCTCAAGGAGAGTGGAAGCCAGAGACAGTCTTTTGTAGAACCACACTTGCTTGTCTGATCTTCCTTGAAACTTTGAAAGCTAAAAACTCTTAAGGCTCTGGTATATTTTTGCGACCATGGGCATCTGGAATAAAACATCTGTTGCTCTCTTAGCTGGATGATAATGACCCATTTTTACCTACTGGGTAAATTCACCTCATTTGATTTGGTGGTTGTTGTTTTACAGTATTTTTAAAATATTCAGAATGCTTCCGCTCGCTCTGGTTAATTCAAAGGCTCACATGGAGCCAGAGAGTCCTGGGATTAAAATCACAGGATGATGCTTAGTGATCTCCGTTTCTGGGTTGTCTTAATTAGGGATTCAGGAAGGTATAAAGCAAGAACCTTTTCTTTTTTCTTTTCTTTTTTTAAAGATTTTATTTATTTATTTGAGACAGAGAGAATGAGAGAGAGAGAGAGCACATGAGAGGGGGGAGGGTCAGAGGGAGAAGCAGGCTCCCCGCCGAGCAGGGAGCTCGATGCGAGACTCGATCCCGGGACTCCAGGATCATGACCTGAGCCGAAGGCAGTCGCTTAACCGACTGAGCCACCCAGGCGCCCCTCTTTTGTCTTCTCAAGGCCACTTGGCCCGCCACCGGCCCGTTCCCAGTTCCAGAGGGGCCAGTGGGGGGCAAGATGGAATTCTTTCAGGATCCCTGACTTGGTGGCCATTCCGGGATCGGGGCTGGGGGCCGGGACCGCGTGTCTGAGGCCCTCCCGCTCAGAGCTGGTCGGGGGAGCCCAGGGCGGGCTGGGGGACCCTCCGCGGCGACCTTTGTGTCCACTGGCCGGGGGACTCGCCCTTCGCCGGAGGTCTGCGGAGGAAGGGAAGGCAAATGGCCGGCTCGCCACCTGTTGGGGGTGGGCGGCTAGGTCGGGCCGCTCCGGCCTGCGGGGTTTCCAGCCGCCTGCCGGCAGCCCCTCCCAGCCGCGCCCGCGGGGCCGGGGCCGGGGCCGGGGGAGGTGGGCTCTACTTCGCGGATTGGGGCTCACGGCTGTCACTCCGGAAGGGTGGGGCTTTTCAAAAAAAGACGGATTCGGAAGGCAGAGCCCCCCGGCCGCGCAGGGCACGGCGGCACTCGGCTCCGCGCCGGATGCGGTCTCGGCGGAGCGGGGCCACCGCGCGGGTCCCCGAGCCGGCGGGCGCTCCTCCGCGCGCCGGGGCCGCGTCTCCCCAGCCGGCCGTGCGCCCCGCGCGCCGGGGCCGCGGGCGGGGGCCGGAGCCGGGCGCGCGGGGGCCGCACCGCCCAACTTCGGGCGCGGGCGGCATGGGGACCGTGCGCCCGCGCGCCCCGCGCCGCCCCGCGCGCCCCGCGCGCCCGGCCTGCCCGCCAGGGGCCCCCGCGCCGCCGCCGCCCGCGCCCCGGACGCCGCAGCCCCGCCGCCCGGCCGCCCGCGCGCGCTAGCCGGCTCCCGCGCTCCCGAGGCGCCCCTCGCCCGCCAAGCAGGAGGGCCGACCCCGCGCGGACTCGAGCGAGGCGCCCGGCGGGGGCGAGGGGTGGGGTTTGCGGCGCGCGCCGGCCTCGGGGGAGCGAGTCCGGCGCCGCGCGCGGTCGGCGCCCGGCCGGCCATGGGCTGGCGGGCGGAGGGCGCAGGGCCCCGCGGCTGCTCGCGCCCCTAGCGCGCCCGCCTCGTGCAGCCCGCTCGGCCCCGGCCTGGCAACCGCTGGTCTGCGCCCCGACGGCGCCGGGAGCAGAGGAGCCGCGCTCGGGTCTCCGGGATGTGCCCGTCTGAGATGGGGACGCCGTGGCACCACTGGTCCCCCGTGCTCATCAGCCTGGCCGCCCTGTTCTCCAAAGGTGAGGGACGCCGCCGCCGCCTCTGGCCCGGGACTAACTTTGGCGCGAGTGAGGGTGTGGGGGTGTGCGTGGCCGGGGTGGCTGGGACGGAGGGCGTGGGTGCTGTGTGCGCGTGTGGACGCGCGCGGGCGGCCCCTTGGCAGCAGGTGCCTCCGCGGAGGACTTGGCGGGGGGGCCCTGGGAGACACTGCCAAGGGACACGAGGAAAAACAGCCCTGAATTAGGGGAGGGGGCCGTGGAGAACCTGCGAAGGAGAGGTGGGCCCCGGGAGGGCTGGGCCACAGGTCCGCGGAGGGGGCTTGGAAGGACCTGGCAGGGCCGTGGAGTGTGCGCTTGGCTTTTCCTGCCGGCGCCGATTATCAGAGCAGTCCCGTGTATGGGAATGTATTCAGTGCCGGGGAGGAGGCTGCAAGCAGGGCCCGCCGCTTAGCTCGGAGCCTGACCCCGGTTCCCCTAAGGCGGCCCTGAGGGCTTTTCTGCGCAGGTGCTCCCCTCCCGCCGTCCCCTGTCTGCTAGTCCGCCCCTGCTCCCGCACGGTTCCAAGCGGAGTTCCAGCCCTAACTTGTCACCTGAGTTGTGCCAGCACGGCCCTGACCCGAAGCTGTGAGCAGAGGCATTCCTCATGCGCCTCCTTCCCCGTCAGTCGGCACCCCAGCCTGTCACTGGCCCAGCCGAGCTGGAGGCTCAGGACGCTGATTCCTTGAAGAGAGATTATGTGATTCACGCAGGAGATGGGAGAAAGTACCAGCAATTCTTTCTCCTTATTGATCCGGACTCTGTGCGGTTCCCTCTGCGCGCCTCCTTTCCTACAAGGCAATCTGTGAGGAGGAAAGTGGAGATTCTTACCAGGCTCCTGTGTGTGCCCCCAGGTCCCTGTAAACAGCTTTCTCTGATGAGATTTTGGGGATGAGATCTCTCTCAGAAACGTCAAAGCCACTTGTCATGCACAACAGAGTCTTTTAATTACAGGATTTTTTTTGGTGAGTTCTTCCAGAATCACTGGGGTCTGATACTTGAGGAAGACCTTTCACTTGCTGGGGTCTGTGCTGCTGTGGGTTGAGGGAGGGGAAGCTTGCTCACCCTGCCCGCTGTCTTCTGGAGCGCTGGGCTAGTGGGTTCACCTCTCCTAATTAGGAGGAGCAATCCCGAGGACCAGAGCCTCCAGGATTTATGATGTGCACAAGAAACCAAAGAAAAGGTTGATGAATTCAGTGAATCCGAGCCAGGCAGACGTGAGGTTAAAAAAAAAAACCCTAATCCTCAGCAACAGCAGTCCAGCACACTTGCATATCTGCTGCAAGGCATGCTTTTTATTGGTTGTCCCCTGATTTTCTAACAGGAACAGGCTTCTCTGTTTTTATGCTGCAGTAACAAGGTTTTATTAAGAAAGCTACAGAATAGCTTGGTAAATATGACCTAACTATCGTGTCTCCTCGGGTATGTACATCGTTCTGTTACTGATTTCTTTATTAGGCTGAAGAAAACTGTTATTACTCCTGATGCCTTTGAACTTTTTCAAGTGGAAACCCTGGAAATGTCTTTAAAGCGGGGCCTCTGTGATGTGGAGGTCTCAGCTCATCTGTGATGCTACCAGCCCAGCATGTGACATATTTTGTGTGTTGAATGTAGAGACCCTAACTCAGCCACACTGTTGAGAAGTGACTCAGTTGTGTGTGGATTTTCGGACAGAGCGAGCGCGGTGCTGAGCCAGGGTCTGTTCCGAGACAAGGACAAGACCTGTTCCTATACCCAGGACAAGAAAATGTTTGACCCCTCTAATGCCATCGTGCTGTATAGAACCTCCTGGTGCAGGTGTGATTTCTAAATGCAGGGATGGTTCGTTCTGTTTCCCTGTGTTTGCATCACTTTTCCCTCTAAGATTCTCTGACCGCCCCCCCCCCCCCCCCGCCGCCGAAAGTTTTAGACCAGCTTGACATCAAATCTGGACTATATTTAAAAGGATTTTAATTGGGGGCCAACATACGCATACACATGCACATAATCCAAAGTGCCTAGTTGGTCTGGGGCTGATGGAAAAATGATTTCCAAATATTAAATGTCTGCTTCAGCATCTTACTACTGTCTTTATCGTATGGCCTTCATTCTTTCCAAATAGGAAACCTTGAATGAACAGAAATGCACATTTTAATTCCAGGCTGATTTCCTTGAACCTCACATATGTTTACATTTCATGAGCAGGAAGTGATTGGTCGCAGACCAAACCCACTCTTATACAGATCTTTTGAAAAACAAATAAAAAGAAATCTTCATTGCTTGTACTTCTACCGGCAGGGACCTAGAGATGATATTATGCAATCAGAAAGTTCCCAGCAACGTTGTCCTGTGGTCCCAACCTTTTCCGGAGAACGGCCTTAATGTGGAGCTGCCGGAGAGCTTGTGGCTTGTGTCTCCGTGTAGGTTCTAGTCTTGTGGGGAACTTTAATTTTTAAAATTTTTAAAAATGTTTTATTTATCGGAGAGAGAGAGCACAAGCAGGGGGAGCAAGCAGAGGGAGAAGCAGGCTTCCGCGGAGCAGGGAGCCCGACGCGGGGCTCGATCCCAGGACCCTGGGATCATGACCTGAGCCGAAGGCAGACGCTTCACTGACTGAGCCACCCAGGCACCTCTCTTGTTGGGAACTTGATGTGAACCAGAACTGGGCCAGCCTGCAGATGTGTTTTTATGCATCGCTGTTCGTTTTGAGGGAGGGACAGGAGTACGGGAAGTAGGGGCTGACGAGACAAATGGGTAAGAACTGGACGTGGGCAGAGAGCAGGGGGTTTTCATGCACAAGATTAAGAAGGTTGCCACGCTTAGGCTGCTTGTCATGACCTTCACCTGCATCCTGCAGAGTTAGTTTGTTCTCCTACAAAGGCCAGTGAGGAGTGGACCCTCAGAGCCCTGGGGAATCCTGGTAGAGGACCTGTTGCCCCTGTCTCACACCTGCCTCACGGACCCTGCCTCAGGGTTGTGCGGGCCAGGTGCTCTGCCTGCGCCCGGCAGAAGGTGGCGAGCACTCTGAGCAGTGGCTTTTTCAGCGTATCTTCCTGCAGAGTGTTTCTGTGTGTCTGGCTTCCATCTTAGGCCAGAAGGGAAGCATCAGGTGGCAGAGTACCACCTCTGTTGAGGGTATGTCCAGGAAAAGTCCAGTACAGCCCTGGACTAGAAGGAGCTTGGGTTTACGGTGACACCTTTTCCAGGCTTTCAGGGGAGGAAGAAATATCTAGGAGGGAGCTCACTGGTGTGTATGTGAGAGACAGAGAGAGACAGAGACAGTGAGACTTCATTGCTTGCATTTAAACAGTGTCACCATTAAAGGCCAGGGAACAGGGGGATCATTAACTTTCATTTTCTCTGAATAAAGTAACAAATACAATTTCATAAAAAATTCTTATATTTTTTTATGAAAGGTAGAATTCCAAGTATGAGGATCTGTTTAATTTAGTTCCATTCTGAAAGCCAAGAAAAAATGAAAAACAAATCAAAACTCCAAAAATACCCAATTGCAGAAGCTTATACTACCTATATTTGTCTCGTCTATCCATTTATCTACTCACCCTTTTATTCAACCAGTCATCATTCATCCATCCTTTTGTTCATCAGTCTGTCCGTCCATCCATCCATCCACCCACCCCCATCTGCCCATCTACCCATCTACCCATCGATCCATCTTCTATCCATCCATCTATCCATCCACCCCCATCCATCCATTCATCCATCCTTCTACTACCCATCCCTCCATCTATCCATCCACCTCCATCCATCCACCCCCCCATCTGCCCATCCTTCTACCCATCCATCCATCCTTCTATCTATCCACCCCCATCCATCCATCCACCCATCCATCCTTCTACCCATCCATCTATCCATCCATCCATCCACTCCCTATCCATCCATATATCCATCCATCCTTCCATTCATCCATCCATCCACAAATTACCACAGACCTGGTGGCTTAAAATCAACAGAAATTTATTCTCACAGTTCTGGAGGACAGATGTCCAAAATCAGTCTCCCTGGGCCAAAATCCAGGTGTCAGCAGAAGGCTCCAAGGGAGAATCGTGTCTTCCCTCTTCCAGCTTCTGGTGGCTGACTGCCTGCAGACCTTGCATCCCGGCAGCATCACTACCATCCTGCAGGCTGGTGGCTTCCCGCCTCTCTGCTCTGTCCTTGCATCATCATCTGCTCTCCCACCACCTCCCTTTAGAAGTCTCCTCTTGCACTGAGGGACCACCAGAACAATCCACATCGTCTCCCATCTTAACTCAATCACATCTGCAAAGATTCCTCTCTCCCTTTCCCCCCCAATTAGGTGACATTCAGAGGTTCAAGGGATTTGGACATAGGTATGTTTTGTGTGTCTTTTCCAACCTTTTATAGGGGTGACATCCTAAAACTATATTCTGCCTCCTGTTCTGTGTTTTAAGTTCCTCTAGGGGCCATGCTGTGTATTTTCCTATCTGGCTTCGATTTCTCTCCAGTACCTATAGTATGCTTCTTTGGACATTGCAAGGGCTCAATCAATTTTTGAGTACGCTTAAGACTGTGGAATACCGCTAAAAGAACCTCTGCCCAATGGTAAAATGACTTGATGCTGGTTTTCCTCCTGGTTAACCAAGGTGCTGTAGGAACTACTTTGGTCAATCATAGTAACAGCTAACTTCTTGAGTAGTTATTGTATGCAAGCCACTGCGCTGAGTGATTTATGAAAATGATTTTGGGGGAATTTTCAGATAAACCTAACTGGGTAGAGTTTGTTATTAGGCCCATCTTACGGATGCAGAAAGTGAGGCTCAGAGAGTAAGTAACTTGTCCGAGATCTCACAACCAGAAAGTGGCAGCGTCTGAATTCTGATTAGCCCACGCCGCCAGCCCACCTCCATTCTGCCTGTGGTTATATGTCATCACTAAACACGAACCCGTTCCTCTGCGGTGCCACCCTTGTGGTCGGTTCAATGCACAGAGGCTTCCATTGGAGTTTTGGCTCAGAGCCTAGGGTA